TTCGGATGCATATAGAACATATATATATGTTCCATTCTATATGCATCCGAAGAAGTGGGCTGTAGTCCACGAAAGCTTATGCTCTAATAAATTTGTTAGTCTCTAAGGTGCCACAAGTACTCCTGTTCTTCTTTTTGTTGGATCAATAGTTACTCAAACTTAACACTGTGAGACATTTACAGTCTTTTGCCCATGTCAATGTTGAAAACAGCAGCAGCAAATGTATGACCACTTCGGGTTCTGCTATGCATACTTGAGTGTGGGATTCAATTTGTATTCATTTCTTATTTCCGAGAGTCAGTATTTCTCAGTATGAAATGCCTCCCTGAGAACTGTTGGTGCCAAAGAAAGGCAGACAGAGAAAGAAGAGTAAAAACCAACTCTAACTTGGACACCGCTACAATTCCAAATCATACCAAGACTGCAGAGGGCTCTTGCGCTGACCTTCCGCCAAGAAGGCTTGACTGTCAAAGTTACAATGACCTCCGATCTCTCCTTTCTGGAGAAAGTCTTCCTTGAATCTGATGCAAAGGAATAAAAACATATTAACATAAAGTACCTGGCCCCAGCGTAGCAGTTCAAGAGGAGCCCAGCCCAAGACAGAGCAGTATTGAGGTACACAGGAAATTTACCAGGACGTGATAGCACGGACTACAGAAAAACACTGGTGATTCCTCCAACACAGAATATCCTTGAGCCAATTGATACATTTCATACTATTACAAGAATTCAGATTGCACAGTATTAACCATGCAAAATAACATTCAAAAATATAGCAATACTGTACCTTGATTATCAATAGGGAGATATTCCAACTACTAACATTACATCTTTTAATTAGGTTTAAATGTCTGTGCTAGTTAAAGGGACATCAGTAACTTTTTTTTAAAGTCATTTTTTAAAGTCAGAGTGGAAATGTTTTCTATGATAACAAGTAACACCTAAGATTAACAGAAAAGATCCCCAAATTTTTCTCAATTTTTTAAATGTCTTTAATTTGTGCATGTAATGACACTGCCTATTCAGTTCGAGTTTCCTCTTGTGCAATCAGTTAGTCCTCAATTCTGTAGTGAGTGCCACGTAGGTGGATTGCTGCACCAACATGGAGCTCAGTACAGGAGATTGAAATTAAGTGTTACTGTAATTACACAAAGAAGTGACACTAAACAGTTTACCAAGAAATGACTAACAGATGATAAAAGCATGTTACAGACATGAGTAGCATGTGTAATCTTGTTATAAGCATGCCGGTAGGTGCTGTAAGGAACTGTTAAAAGCAATCTAGTGATCTGTCGGATTCTATCGATTTATTAAAATACATATTAATCATAAATTAACCCTTTTAAAAACTATTTATAAATGTAGCCTTACTAGTAAGTGTGACCAAGCACTTCATACAGCAATAGAGGCAAGAAAGATATATACATTTTTAAATAGGAAAATGTGATTGTGAACCCAAGAAATATTACGGGGGCTCAGGGCAGGTGTAGCAACAAACTATCTTGAACTCATTTTTTTAAATTTGTCTAGATTTTAAGTTAACTGCATCCCTTTAAAATTATGTGCACTCTAAACATGCTTAATTGGTTACATTGCTTTTGCCAATGGTCAGATTTGTTATTTAAAAAAAGGAGATCTACATATTCCCCAAAATCAAATTGCTCCCAAGAGAAAAAAAAACAGATGTGGGTGGTAGGGAGACCAGATGAGAGGAAGAAAATATTGGGACACGGGGGGGG